GGGAGGGTGTTGACGCTCTCCAGGGCAACAGGAGGCTCTGCCTGGGCCAGCCTCTGGGCAGTGTCCACTGGAGGCTCTGCAGAACCCAGCAACCAGGCTGCTGTGGAGCCACCCAAGCCCTCCACCCAGCCAGGAGGAGTGGGGTTGCCAGGGCCGCGGCCCCCCAGCACAGGGCCGGCTCCGCCTGGGCACAGGGACCTGAGTGAGTCTGTGAGTGTGCACACCTGTGTCTCCGTGTGCCAGGGAGGGTTCGTGGGGTCCTTGTTTGTGGTCCCTGGGGAACTACGAAGGCCCAGGCCCTGAGTCCTTCAGCTCAGCAGTGGGGAGGGAAGGGCCTGGCCGGGGCCTGGAACCCTCAGAGCCAAGCCCCATGGTGTGGGCCAAGCCAGGCAGGTCCCCACGGTGCCCCACCAGGTCACCCAGGTATGAGCAGGGCACAGGCCCTGGTGGGAGCTGCCAAGGCTGCACGGCCTTCCTGAGGCCCTGCTGGGAGGGGCAGGGGTACAGCTGGGCGTCCCCTCAGACCACCCGACTCCCCCCAGGGGGCCTCAGGGGCAGGTGCTTTCAGAGAGACCCAAGCAGGCAGGGTCGGCCCCCTCGGTGGAGGAGGGACCCCTGGTGGACCCCAGCCCCGAAACCACCTGGTGAGGGGCGCTTCAGTGCACTGACCCTGAGGTCTCAGTGAGCCAGTCAGGGGAGGCTGCCTGAGGCTGGTTTTGGGTGGCCAAAGGGCCAGTGGATGTCCACCGCCTGGACGCTAACCCCAGCCCCCTCCAACAGGCACCCGTGAGGATGGACATGGGCCAGGGGGGCCCCCAGGTGTGATGTCAGCCCAGGAGCTCGTGGCCGGCCTCTGCCGGAAGGGGGACCAGCACCTGGCCCTGGGGGACCCCCTCCTGGCCACGGCCTTCTACCTGGCTGCCTTCAGCTGCCACGCCCCCTCAGCCGTGCAGAGGCTACGAGGGGCGCTGGCCGAGGCTCGGGGAGCACCTGTGGTGGCCACCCTGGAGGCCTGGTGCTGTGGGGACAGCCGAATCCCCACCATCCTCTGGGACGGCATGGCAGTGGTCTCCCTGACCGGGGCTCTGGCCTCTGCCTTTCTCGGTGCCCTCTGCCCTGACCACCCGGCGGCTGTCCTGCACTCCCTGGCCGGGCTGCTGGCTCATGGGCGCCACAGGGAAGTGGCCCAGCGCTGCACTGCCCTGCTGGACGCTCACTCCCGGCAGGCCCTGGAGCTGCAGCTGACCCGCGCCCTGGCCCAGGTCCTGTCTGGGGAGCAGGCAGGCGCCGGCGTGGCCGAGTATCTCCAGGCCTTCGCCTCGAGCGCAGAGCGGACCGCAGCCTTCGTCCACACCCACCAGCGTCCCTACCTCCCCACGCTGCTCAGCACCCTGCGGGACCATGTCTCAGCACAGCCGCGGGCCACCGTCAGCGACGGCCAGCAAGAGGCTGACGGCTGGGGCCTCCTGGCTGCCCTGGACCCCGAGGGCACCTGGAGCGAGGTCCTGTCACCAGAAGCGCTGCTCCGTGGTGGCAGGTATGAGGACTGCCTGGCCGCCTGCAGCAGGGCCCTGCAGTCGGACCCCGCGAGGGACAGACCCCAAGGTAGGGAGTCCTGGTCCCCGCAGGGATGCTGCCCCCTGGGTTAAGTCTGCCTGGCGGGGGGAGGGGGCCGGGCTGGGACTCCACGGGGACAAGACGGGCAGGACCTGCTTTCCAGAGCACCCAGGAAGGAACCGAGTGGAGCGCACAGGTCCACTCCAGGCAGTGGTCAGGGCAGGCTTCCTGCAGGAGGGGCCTCGGGCTGAGAGGGGCTCCAGGCAGCAGAAGCAGGGCCTGAGGAGGCCCTGGGGAAGAGAGAGCTTCACCTCGCCACAAGGCGCCAACGTGGCTGTCGGGGACGGGGCCCAGCTGCACTCTGAAGGACCGGTTGTGCCCTCAGAGCCACCCAAGGGTGTCCAACGTAGGTAGAGTGAGAAGAGTTGCACGTTTAGCTTCTTTGGAGGTCGTGTGGGGTGTGCCATAGGAGCTAAGGAGAGTGAAGAACCTGCGGGGAGACTGGGAGGCTGGTCCAGGCAGGGAGGCTGGGAGGTTGGAGAATGGGAGGCTGGTCCAGGCAGGGAGGCTGGGAGGTAGGAGAATGGGAGGCTGGTCCAGGCAGGGAGGCTGGGAGGTAGGAGAATGGGAGGCTGGTCCAGGCAGACAGGCTGAGAGGTCGGAGAATGAGAGGCTGGTCCAGGCAGAGAGGCTGGGAGGTTGGAGACTGGGAGACTGTCCAGTCCAGGCATAGAGGCTGGGAGGTTGGAGACTGGGAGGCTGGTCCAGGCAGGGAGGCTGGGAGGTAGGAGAATGGGAGGCTGGTCCAGGCAGAGAGGCTGAGAGGTCAGAGAATGGGAGGCTGGTCCAGGCAGAGAGGCTGGGAGGTAGGAGAATGGGAGGCTGGTCCAGGCAGAGAGGCTGGGAGGTTGGAGACTGGGAGACTGTCCAGTCCAGGCAGAGAGGCTGGGAGGT